AACTGAAAACCTTACCTAATATTTCACTGAAAAAAGGCCATTTGTCAAGAACTCAATCTCAGATGCCTTCCACCACTATCTCCTCTTTCACTCTTGTCTTACATGAAGAGGTGTCCCTTCTCCTTGCCAAAGCTAATCCTTATATATGCACAAGTGATTTATCTCTTCTATCATTCCAGCAGATTGCCTCCTCTATCATCCCTATTTTCCCACTAATCATCAATCTCTCTATTTTGCTGCTTTGCTACTACCTACAAACACACACATCTCCCCCTTCCTCAAAAAAATCTTCCATTCATCCCCATTAGCTGTTGTTCCATATTTTTCCTCCTTTTTGTGGCTAAGCTTCTTGAGATAGCTGTCTACAACTAGTACCTCCACTTCCTTTTCTCTAACTCTCTTAACTCTAACATCTTGTTTTCTGACCTTATCTTCAACTAAAACTACTCCCTCTAGAGTTATCATGGACCTTTTAATTGCCAAATTAAATTGTCTTTTCTCAATCTTCATTCTTCTTGACACCTCTACAGCCTTTGACACTGTCAGCCACCCTTTTTTTCCTTTGATTCTTTCTCTACATTTTTGTGTAGAATGTGGTTCACTTTCTACCTGTCTGACTACTCCTCAGTTTCCTGGATTTTTACTGGATTTTCATCCAGGAAAGACTATGCCTGCTAACCCTAGGGGTTCCCACAATCTTTGCATGGGCCCTCTTCTTTCTCTCTTAATGCTATTTCTTTTTTGTTTGTTTGTTTGTTTTTTGGGAGGAGGCAGTTAGGGCTAACTGATTTGCCCAGGGTCACATAGCTAAGTCTGAGGCTGAATTTGAACACAGGTCTTCCTGACTCCAGGGCCAGTGCTCTAGCCACTTAGCCACCTAGCTGCCACAATACTATTTTACTTAATGATGTTATCAGCTCCCATGGCTTCAGTTATCATCTCTACATAGATGACTCTCAGATCTATTTGTCTAGCCCTACCCTCTCTCCTGACCTATATTTTCACGTCTCCAACTGCCTATTAGAAGTCTCAGACTGTGTCTTTTAGATACATTGTAACTCCTCATGTCCAAATATGAGTTCATTATCTCTTCCCCAAAATTCTCCTGTCTTCCTAATTTCCCTATTTCTGTCAAGGGTACCAACATTCTCCTAATCACCTGTGTGGATCATCAGGCTGATTACTTTCGAGTAATTATTTATATCATTATGGTATAAATTGGTGCCACTTGGTACAGCATTTTGACTGAGAACTCCCTGGTTTTGTGAATTTAAAAATTAGGAAACTTGAAAAAAAAATTAGGAAACTTGGTCATTTTTTTCTCCCCATTTCAGTTCCTTTGTTTGGCTGTAAATGCTTCCCCAACCAAGTGATTATATGGCAACCTATGTATTTACACAAGACAGAGGAAAAGAAAACTCATGCACAAAAACTAAGTGTTCAAAAAAGATTTACTCAGTTATAGTCTTTACAGCAGGCTAGAAATAGGAATGGGATGCTTATGGGCCTTACATTCTGCTACCAGACTGGGGGCTGTGGCGCGACCTTTGCCCATATTATGTGGTGACTCCAAAGATGGTTACCCGCTTCCTCTTTTTATGTAGGAAAAATCTCATCTCTAATGTATGTTAGAGATGTTGCTTCCTTTCAAGGGAGTTTCAGGATGGTGATTCATGGGGAACAAAGTTATCTTCTACCACCACTTCCAGATCTGTGTCTTGGGGTCTTGGAGCATTGGTTAAGGAGGATGAGAGTGTAGATCTAGAATGCTTCCTCCTTTGTCCAAGTTAGCTAACAAGGAGGAGGCCTAGCTATGATGCCAGATGCTATGTGGTTATATAGTCCTAGATGAGCACTTTGTCTGTGAAATTATTCTTGGGAAAAGAGGCAGATACCTCAGCTGATTTCTAGGGGTGAAAGCAAAAATGAGAAATATTTAATACACGTCACTTGATAGAGCAGAATTCATAAACCATAGAACAGAATGGCTTTGTGTTGTTCTGTCAAGAAATGAATCAAAGGCCTTATGGAGATGCTCATTTTTCTCCTATAGGATTCTACATATGCAGCCCTAACAGATTTCATATGAAAGGGAAATAAATGCTAACAAGGCCTAAGCTTATTAAAGCTAAAACTGCACTAAGACTTTTAGGTTGCTTTGTATGAATATACTATAGCTGTGTATAAATATATATGTGCACGTGTATATTCTGTAGCAAGCCATACTGATTCATTTACATTCTCCAAACTGACGAAAGTTAACAGTTGCAGTTACAAATTCTAAGTAGCAAAATCATATATGCATAATAAAAAAGGGTACGGAACTACAGAATCCAACCATTATGGAAAGCATTGTAGGAATTAAAACTTGTTGACCCTGTCACAAGGAGACAACAAGAACAAAAATCACCTTTTGTGAACTGAGTAGGACCTATTGGTAGAGATGACCTTAAAGCTCAGATCAGGACTTCAAAATAATAACTACTGAAATCCAGGATGGAGAAGGCATGATTAGACTGTTTTTGTCTAAAGTTTTGAGAGTTTAAGCAAACCACAAGCTCAGCAGTCAACAGTGTGACATAACAGCCAAAAAGTGGGTGTGTCTTTCCTCATTCCCATCCAGCAGCATTGGGACTGAAGGTGACCAGGAATAATCAGACAGACCAGTAACATAGAAATCAGTAAATCAGTCTTTCTTTTATTAAGGTCACATTTAGCTCCTAGAAGGGCAAGCATGAAGCTTTACTTACATACAAAAAGGGCACGGCCAAAGAAAAGGGCACCATGTCTCAGTTGTTGGGCTTCCGGTGCAGTGATCTTCAGGTCACACAAAAAGGAGGATGTGGGTTCAGTAGTGGTCCTGTGAGAGGCTGTCCTTGGACTCTGCATACCCCAGTATTATAAGTTCTCATTACTACCCCTGGTTAATCAGTAGGTACCCTTGGATCCTTCATCATTTCCACATTATAGTATCTCAGATGATACAGGTCAAGGCCATGGGTTTTATAGTATTTATAGTATTATAGTATTTGGGTATTTTATAGTATTTTATAGTATTTATAGTATCTATCTACATCTTTCCATGTTTCAGGAGTCACTCATGGGGTACCATATAATAAATGTCCAAGCACAATTCTGAACATTATAAGTGGGAAACAGTTTCCAGTAGGTCAATAAAAATAGGAGTTGTTTACATAAAAGTGAAACTTGAAATTTTTACAGAAGGGCACAAAAGTCAAGGAAGTAAATAAAAGGATTAATGGGGAGACCAGAAAATTTAGCCAGGAAGATCTGGATTTAGATCCTTAGCTCAGACGTTTAACAAGCTGTATCACCCTGGACAAATCACCTAACATCTTCCAGCCAGTCTACTCTGTAAAGTGTCTATAATACCTGACAAGGTTGTTGTGAGAATCAAATGGGATAAAATATGTAAAGTGCTTTGCAAACCTAAAAGCTCTATTAGTATTATTATTATTATGGGTAACCTCATGCTATTGGGGTACATCAAGTCATGGTGCCCAGAAGAAGGGGTATATTGACAAACTGGGGTAAATTCAGAGGAAAATTGTTGGAATCGTGAAGGGGTCACTTGAGATACTTCACCTCCAACCACGTCATGAATAGATAATGATTATCCTGGAGAGGAGAACATCTTAAGGGGGGATACCTTAAGTAGTTAAAGGACCATTTATTATATAAAAGAAGGTATTAGGATTTTCTGCTTGGCCTCAGAAGGTTGCTTTAGAAACAGTGGGTAGTATAACAAAAAAATGCTATCCACCCCCAGAGAAAGAACTGATGGAGTTTGAATGTAGATCAAAGCACAGCATTTTTTACTTTCTTTGTGTTTTTCATGAGTTTTTTTTTTTTTTTGGTCTGTGTTTTCTTTCACATGTCTGATATGGAAATATATTTTGCATGACTATGCATGTATATAACCTATATCAAATTGTTTGCCATCTCGGAGGCGGTAGGGGAAGGAGGGAAGGAAAGAATTTGGAACTTAAAATTTTTTTAAACAAATGTTAAAAATTATTTTTACATGTAATTGGAAAATAAAATAAAATTTTTAAAAAGAAACTGGATATAAGTGGCAGAGAGGCAGGTTTAGGACCAATGAAAGAAAGAGTTCTTAACAATTAGAGCTATCTCTCCAAACACACTGGGATCCCCCATCCCTGGAAATCTACAAGCAGAAACTGAATGATCACTTCTCAGTGATATGGTAAGGAAGGGTTCTTAACCTGGTGTCTGTGAACTTGTATAGTTTTTTTAGTATTTTGATATATTTCAGTATAATTGGTTTCCTTTATAATCCTTTTTTTTATTTTATTCATTTAAAAACATTACTCTGTGAAAAGGTCCATGTGTTCCACCAGACTACCAGAAGAGTCCATGGCACAAAAAATGTTAAGAACCCCTACTGTAGAATTTTGTCTTGAAAATAGGTCTGCCTGTCTCTCCCAGGCCAGAAGTACAACAGCCACTTATGGGCCCCTTCTTCCTCACTGTGGTTTGCCCAAAAGTCTTGACCTGCTCTGTTTCTCACCTAGGCCAGTTCATCCTTCCACAGGTAGCCTAAGTAGCTCCTCAGTGCTGACAATTTTGGTGCCACATTAATGTGGACACCTGATTACCTTTAGCCCTCTTGTAATTCAGAACTCCCAAGTACAAACTATCTTACCAATTTCAACCTCTCTAATAGCATAAATTATGGTTATATAGAATTTGTTTTATTGGACTATGCATTTGTTATGAAGGTTTATAATTTTTTTTATTGTTTAAGGGGAGGGAACACAAGAAGGAAAGATAATAAAAATCAAAATAAATAATTTATTGAGAATACAAGAAATATATAAAGAACCCTTGCTATAGAGAGATTGCTGTTTAGGAAGATCCACATAATCTCTGAGGTTCCCTCCAACTTGTAAGATTCTGTGATTCTGTTTTTGTATTTTGAAAGATTTCAGTGCATTTAGAGGCATTTTGTTTTGTAGGTGAGAAATCACATGAGATAAAGCTCATGGAAGAAACTCACAAACAAGAAATCACTCGTTTGCAGAAGAGATTACAGTGGTATGCAGAAAATCAGGAACTTTTGGATAAAGATACTGTTCGACTTAAAGAGGCAAATGAAGAAATTGAGAAGCTCAAACTCCAGGTAATGGTTATAATTCAGAATTTACTTCTGTAGCAATTCTGATATACCATTTTTCTCAGCATTTATATGTAGTTTTATAAATATTTTTGACTCCTTAATTTTTAAAAATAGTTTTTGATGCCTGGATATAATCATAGATTGTAGATCATTGCTAGGCATGAACAAGTTTTTATGTTTATCTCAAATCTTTGGATCTAACTCAAAGTGAAGTACAAATTTTTGAAAAGCATGAGTCTTCATTGTAGTAATAATACTGGATTTTGCAAAATAATGCACTGATATTCAGTTGTTCTAATATAAGAACTAAGGTCAGAGGGGTGAGCGGGGAAAATGGGAAAGGGGCTTTTCCTAAAGGCCTAACAGCTTTTGTCCTTTCTTTCCTCCTTTCCCCTTTTATCTCCTCTCCCTTCTCTCTCACTCTACCTCTCCTCCTGTCTTCTCTTCTCTCCCCTCCCTTCTCTCTCACTCTACCTCTCCTCCTATGCCTCCAAAATCTTCTCAACTGCACCCCAGAACTTAAGTCTCACATTTCCAGGAGTCTGGTAGATGTCCCCAAGGATGTCTCACTGAATATGTCTACATATTCAAAACCGAATTTGTCATCTTTATCCCTCAACTACCCCTTACTCTTAACATGTCCATTTTTGGGTATGGCACAATCATCTTTCCAGCCACCCAGACTCAACAGCTGTCTTCTTTAACTATTCTTCACCCTACCCCCAGTATCCATCCAGTGTCAAGTTCTGTTGATTCCAATTCCACCATAGCTTACAAACGTATTTACTCTTTTCCACTTTCACTATTATCACTATAATTTGGTCTCTTATACCCTTCACCAAGACTGTTGTAATAGTCTCCTCACTTGTATCCCTACTTCCACTTTCTCCCCTCCTAAATCTCATCTTCATCCTGCTTCCTGTTTAGCCTAACATTCTATTTTGATCACATAGATTTCTCCTTAAAAATATTTTGTGATTCTTTGTGGTTTGCCAATTAAAGTATGATACTGAAAGCCTGAGCACTCATGATCCTCCGTTCACTGACTTTGACAAACTCTTCAGTCTGTATTCCTCTTTACTCTGCTTGCTTTCTTCATTCTAGTCAAACCTGACTAGTTATATATAGTTATTTGTGTTGTAACATGTCTCATTTCCCTTATTAGATTACAAGCACTTATTTCAGTTTTGTCATTGAATTCTCAGGGCCTCCCATAGTGCCTTGTGCATAGTAGACACATAAATGTTTATTCAATTAAATTGCCACCTAGTTCATTGACTACCACCAGAGAAAAAATAAAGCAGGCAATTTCCAGGATTGTTCACTCGTTGAAACCAATTGAAATATTCTTTTTCCATGAGCCACACACCACATGCTTATTTTACATGTTAAATTGCCTTTCAATATGCCTTTTTCTTGTGGTTGAACAGGTTGAAAAACTGAAAACAGAAGCCGGGAATCAGTCTGTACAACAGAAGTTACGTCTGAAAGACAGAGCAGTTGATGCTAAAAAAATTCAGGATCTTGAACGACAAGTATGTGTTAAACTTGATTTCATATTAAAAGTATTTTGTAACCAATGTATTTTTCTCTCTGAGGGAAAGTAATTTTGTTTTCCTTTGGAAAGCACTAATAATGTTACTTTAGATCTGTGATTCTCATTTGTATATTTTAAGATGGCTCTCTATAAGGTTAAAAATGTTTGTGATACAGCATGTCTACTATGGAAGTGTTTTGCATATCTGCACATATATAACCTATATTGAGTTGCTTGCCTTTTCAATGAGGGTAGGTGGGGAGGAAGGGAGAAAATTTGGAACCCAAAGTTTTAAAAACACATGTTTAAAAAAAATGTTTTCACATGCAACTGGGAAATAAGAAATACAGGAAATGGGGTACAGAAATCTATCCTGCCCTGCAGGAAAATAGAAGGGGAAGGAGATAAGAGAAGGGGGAGGAGAGAAAGAAAGGAAGGCAAACTAGGGGAAGGAGTATTCTGAATGCATGACATCTTGGGGTGGGGGGAGGGGTGAGATGGGGTGAAAATTTGGAACTCAAAATCTCGTGGAAGTAAATGTTGAAAACTAAAAATAAATAAATTTATTAATTAAAAAAAAAGAACAAAGGACGAACAACAACAGAATGTTTATAATATAGAATTTGAGAAAACATTAATAAAGCGGTATATATTGAGTATTATATTGAGTATATATTGAGAATTAACACAAAAATATAAAACCAAGAGGCTTTCTCTAATAGGTAAGTGGTCAATGGATATGGACAAACAATTCTCAGAAGTAGAATTGCATACTATTAGCAACCATATAAAGATTGTTCCAAATTGCTAATAATAAGAGAAATGCAAATTTTTAAAAAATCTCTGAATTTTCACTTCACACACAGCAAATTAGCAAAGATGACAAAAGATAGAAATATTCAGTATTGAATATTGTGGGTGAACTATTGTAAGACAGATAAACATAATTGGTCTACCTGTTTTGAAAAGCCATTTAGATTTATGCTTTTAAAAAATGGTGACTAGAGAATCCATACCTTTGACCTGAATATTCCACTGTGAGGTGATGTGCCAAGAAGGTCAAAGATAGAAAGTTCTCATATACACCAAAGTATTCATGGCACCACTTTGTAGTAACAAAAAATTGAAAGTAAAATAGGTTCTTATATGTGAAATCACTGAACAAATTAGGGGATGTGAATATAAAGGAATATTACTGTACCATAAGAAGTGATTAATAATGAAGAACTCAGAGAAGCATAGGAAGACTTTTATGAATGAATGACAGGTGAAGTAAGCAGAACCACGAAGTCAATATAAACATTATCTACAATCATCTAAATAAGAACAACAAAAAAGAAATAGAATGCTATGTTTTAAATTATAATGACCAAACTTGTCCTAGTGAATAGCCTTCAATACCAACCCCTCTTGTAACCTGTGATGCCCTGCTTTCTCATCCATCCTCTGTCCCTTCCCTTACCTTTTTCCTCTCCATCACATACCAAACTCCATCTCCCATCTATGTACCTTTGCACTGGACAACCCCCTAGAATGTATTCTCTTTTATCTCCACTGCATAGATTCTCTCTCTTCCTTCAAGATTCAGCTCAAGCACCATCTACACAAAACCTTTCCTGACCACCACTACCACCCCCCCAATTGCTTATGTCATCCTTCTCAAACTATGTGATATTTTACTACTTTATATATACATTTATTTTCCTTATATTATTTCTCTGTATACTTATACAGGGTGTCCCAAAAGCCTTAGTGCAATTTTAAGCTTTAGTAGTTACATTATTTATTATTATAAACTGCACCAAGACTTTTGGGACACTCTGTATAAGTATTTGTCTCTCCCATTAGAATGTGAATTCATTGAAAGTTGGGATTGTTTAATTTTTTTTTAATTTGTATTCCTAACTCATAACATAGTGCCTGTCACATAATAGGTGTTTAATAAATGATTGTCAGTTGATTAATTGATTAATTACAGAGGTGGAGGAATTTGGGTATGGAATATACTGTCAGACACAGTTAATGTGTTGGTTAATTTTTCTGAACTTCTTTTTTAAAATTTCTTTTTTAAGAATGCTTAAGGGAGGACAGAGAGTTGTGTTTGAAGTGAATGTTTCGTAAAAACTAAAGATTTCAAAAAAAATTAAGTCCAAGTACAAAATCCTAATCTAAGACACAAGGATACAAATATGAGTAAAGAGAAGAAAACACTGAAATCAATGAAGAAATATAGTAGCCTAAGAATAAGTGGTAAACCCAGAAGAATTGAATATAACACAATTACAAGCAAAATCTCAAAGAAAAGAATGACTTGAGGCAAGAGGTTTTTTTTTTTAATGAAATTAGAGCTCTTAGAAAAAATGGAAGGATAATAAATAACTTAGAAGATGAGAAACCTTACCCAGCTAGTGGACTCTGTGAAAAATAAAATGGAACAAATAAAAACACAGTAATTCCATGACACACCAAGACATATTAGAACAGAGCCAAAAGAAGGTTAGAAGAATGTGTAAAGTATCACCTGTCCAAAAAGTGGACCAAGAAAACAAGTGAAGAGATAATTTAAGAATCATCTGACACCCAGAAAAACATAACCAAACAAAAATCTAGACATCATATTTCAGTAAATTATTTAAAAAAAAACAAAACCCTGCCTAGATCTATTAGAATCCAGGAATGTCATAACCCAAATTCAGAGGTTCCAGGTCGAAGAAAAAATACTTTAGGCATCCAGAAAGAAAGAGTTTAAGGACTAAGGAACCACAGTCAGAATCACAAGATAGCAGCAACTACTATAAAGGAAAAGAAAAATTTGAATAAAGTAATCCAAAAAACAAAAGATAAAAACTTAAAACCAAGAATAACTTACCTTTCAAAACTAAGTATAATCTACAAGGGTCAAATGTGTTTTTAATATAAAAGGACTTTCAAGCATTCCTGATGAAAAGACTTGAGCAGAACAGAAATATTGAAATTTAAATGCATTTGAGCAACTGAAAAGGGATAAATGGTGATAATATATTTATATTCTAATAGGAAAAAGATATAAATATCCCTTAAAAATCCTCATGTCTTTAAGAGACAAATATAGGACCTGTGTGTAGTTCTGTTCTGTTTTGTAGGTTTTAAGAGTGGAAAGAAAAGGGAAGGAAAAAAGAATATGCTAAGGAAGAAATGGAAGAAAGAGGTAGAACTATTTTGCATAAATGATATGCATGACAAGAACAGCATATAAGTATAAAGGAAGGGGTAATGAAAGCAGGTGTATTATAGCCTCACTTTTATCTAAACTATGTAAATGAGAATTAAACACATATAAAACTGAGTTTGGTATAGAAATACGTTAATTTAACAGATATAGGTGGTCATAAGGAAGGGGGGAAAGTGGGTAAAAGAAGGAGAGTAGAGTCATGAAGTAAATAGTCACAAGCAAAAGAAACGTCAACTTTGGAGAGGCTAATCGTAAAGAGGATATTTAAAAGTGAACGTATAAGAACAAGATCAAAATCCAAGTAAAGAGAATAAAACAGAAGAGTAGGAACAGATTAATTCAATTATAAATATCTAATGTTGATCATATTCCTTCTATTTCTCCATCCACTTATTCTTTGTAAAGAAAATAGTAAAAAGAACAAGAAAAAAATGTGAGATGATAATGGAGAAAAACACAATTCATAATCAAAATGTTTAAACATGAACGTGATGAACTCATCCATAAAGCACTGGAAGGTAGCAGAATGGATTAGAAAAGCAAAATCCAACAATACGGTAATGTTATTTACAAGAAACACGTTAAATAGCTTTATACAGAGTTAAATCAGCAGGATTTATTATAAATAATGTATTTACTCCCTCTCTTGCCCTCTGTGATATAGTTAAACAGACCTTCTCCCAAACATTCTGGGGAGTAATTTGGAACTATGCCCAAAAGACTATAAAACTGTGCATACCTTTTGACCCAGCAATACCACTACTAAGTCTATCCCAAAGAGATCAAAGGAAAAGGAAAAGATCTTATATGTACAAAAATATTTATAATAGCTTTTCTTGTGGAAAAGAGTTGGAAATTGAAGGAATTCTCATCAAGTAGGGAATGGCTGGGCAAGTTGTGGCATAAGATTGTGATGGAATACTATTGTGCTATAAGAAATGATGAGCAGGATGGTCAGAAAAACCTGGAAAGACTTATAAGAATAGATAGATGCAAAGTAAGCTAAGCAGAGCCAGGAGATCATTGTGCACAGTAATAACAATAATGTAAAATGATCACCTATGAATGACTTAGCTATTCTCAGTAATACAATGATCCAAGATAATACTGAAGGTCTTATGATAAAAAATACTGTCCACCTCCAGAGAAAGAATTGATGGAGTTGGATTGAATCTGTGTTCTCTTTTGCAACCTGGCTGATATGGAAATATGTTTTGGATGACTGTACGTGGGGGCAGCAAGGTGGCACAGTGGATAGAACACCAGCCCTGAAGTCAGGAGGACCTGAGTTCAAATCTGGCCTCACAGCAAACACTTGACACTTACTAACTGTGTGACCCTGGGCAAGTCACTTAACTCCAATTGCCTTAACAACAACAAAAAAAAACCTAGTAAACAAAAAAATAAAAATTACTGTACATGTATAATCTATATTAAAGTGCTTATCTTCTCAAGGAGGGGAGAAGGGAAGGAAGGAGGCAATTTGGAGTTCAAAATTTATTTTAAAAAATGAATGTTAAAAATTGTTTTGTATGTAATTGAGGGAAAAAAAAGAAATTCTGAAAAAAAGAAAAGAATGTAACCTCCTTTCCAATAGATATTGCCTTATTTTTTCTATGTATATCCCTAATAACCTAATATAGTGTCTGACACATAGTAAATACTTGCATCTAGATGGCACAGAGGATAGAATACTGGGCCTGGATTCAGGAAGACTCATCTTTCTCAATTCAAGTCCAGCCCCAGACACATATTGCTGTGTAACCCTGGGCAAGTCACTTAACTTTGCCTCCATTTCCTCATCTGTAAAATGACCTGGAGAAGAAAATGGCAAACCATTCCAGTAGCTTTGCCAAGAAAACCCCAAATGGAGTCACAAACTGTTGGACACAACTGAAATTACTGAACAACAGCAATACATATGTATTGATTAACAAACCTAATAAAAAGATAAACAAGAAAGAAGTTAAGGACCTGTGTAGGACTTTAGAAAAGTTAGATATGATAGTTCTCTGGTGGTTAATGAAAGGGAATAGAATAGAGTATGCATATTTCTCAGCTGTATATAGCACCATCATAAAAAATTAACCATGCATTAAGGCATCAAAACTTTAGAAACAAATGTAGAAAAGCAGAAATATTAAATACTCCCTTACTGACCATAAAGTAACATGTTATAATCAGTGAGGGACATTTAAAGAAAGGATTCAAACTTAAGTGAAAACTGAATAATTTTATCACAAAAAATTGGTAGATCAAAGAACAAATAATAGAAATAACAGATAATTTCATAAAAGAAATTGACAACAGATGGCATATACAAACTTTAGAGATTCAGCCAAAATAGTCATTACAGAAAAAATAACTCAATACTTTCATCAACAAAAAAGAGAAAGAATAGCTCAACCAATTAGGAATACAACTAAAAAATTAGGAAAGTAACAATCAAAAAACCTCAACCAAACACAAAAAAAAACCACAGAAAATCAAAGACAAAGCCATAATTTAAAACAAAAAATACATTGAATTAACAAATAAACTAATAAAAAAGATAAACCACTAGCTAAATTACCAATATAAAAAAAATGAAAAAGAAGTCACAACAAAGATAGAGGAAATGATTAGAAACTGTTTTGCCCAATTATATGCCCCAAAAGTAATAAGTACAATGAGTATTTACAAAAATATAAAACACTTAGACGAACAGAACAAGAAATAAAGAATTCAAATACCCATCACCCCCTCCCAAAAAAAATGAACAAGCCAAAAGGAACTCCCAGAGAAAAAAACCCAGAACCAGATAGATTTAAAACTGAATTCTAACAAACATTTAAAGAAATATGAATTTACTTCTCTTTGTAACAAATATAAATAGTTAAGCAAAAGAAATAATCACATTACCTGTATCCAAAAATATTTGTCTCACTCATATCACTTCTCTGTCTGAAGGTGGGGTAGAGTGCTTCACCATCCATCTTCTGGAATCATTGTCATTGTAGGTAATGGCATTAATCAGCATTCTTAAGTTTTTCATAGTTGTTTGCCTTTCAGGTGGTGGTGGTGGTGGTTTATAAATTGTTGTCCTAGTTCTGCCATCTTCATTCAGCATCAATTCATACAAGTCTTCACAGATTTCTTTGAAACCATCCTTATTGTCATTTCTTATGGCATGTTAATATTCCATTACATTCATATACCATTTGTCAAAGAATAAGAATAGTTAGTTCTCAAAAGAAGAAAGGCAAGCTATCTACAGCCATATTAAAAAATGCTACAAATCACTAAAAATAAGAAAAATACTAATTAAAACAACTCTGTGGTAACACCTTATACCATTAGAGTTCTAGGAGCTAATATTTATAGATGGGCTACACCTGTGTAATTCTTAGCATCCTCTGACTCTTCTTCTACCTCTCTTATCACTACAGAAATAGAAGAAGGCTGCATTGAATTGAGAGCCTTTTTATATTTTCCTTGGTTTCATGGGTTCCCATGGCCCAAGAATTCATCATTAGGTGTTCCGTTATACTGGTGATAAGGTTCCCTCTGCTTAGCTTGGCTGACCCTCAGAAAGAACATATGTCATCTGTTATTGGCATTGTACTTGAAGTTTTTCCATCATCATAGAACTTTTCAGAACTTGTATTCAGATCTAGCCTTTGTAAATCTATGTTCTCCACCAGGCCATGATAAGGCATCAAAGGCAGACTTGGTGGAGGGTTTCAGTGCTCTGAGTTTATTTTACCTGAGCAATACCAAAGTCAAAGCAGAATGTTAGGCAAAAGAAGAATTGAAGAATGTTATACCCAGTTGTAACTACCATATGAGATTATCTTCAAGTAGGAAAAAATTAATAACCACAGTTGTGTCTTTAAATTAAAATATCTCAAATACCAAAATAAAAGTTGAAAATAGCAGACTATAGGTAGTAATATAAAATATACAACTCTGATTAAATTTCTCATTTTTCAGAATATTTTGTTTTGTCTTTCATTATTCCCTTCAAAAACTACATTCATCATCTTCTTATATTTTGTTGTACTTTATTTGATACGTGCATTTCTAATCTTGTTTATTTTTTCTATAGAGATGCATTGTAATTAACTTAAAATTGACCTATATTTTTGTGGTTAGCAAAGTATAGCATAATGTAATCATTATTACATACTTTTACTGGAGTGAAGGTCAAAACAAATTTAAGTTATTTATGAGGGGGAATACTTTTTTTCTTAGCCAGAAGTTCAAGTGATGCTATTTTGATGCAAGTAGAAAAGAAATTTTCCAATTAGTGGCATTTTCTCCATCTTTTCAAGGAAAAAAATTTTCTCACATGCTAAAAGCACCGTGCATGTCATTTTAGACATCTAAGAAAAAGCTGCCCATTTTAAAATAAATTCTTACCTTTCTGGGCCTCGCTTCCTCATCTGTAATGTAAAGGAGCCATTGAGTAAAAAGTAAAACATAAAAGTGGTATAAAGTTGGAGCAGCTAGGTGGTGCAATGGATAGAGCACCAGCCTTGGAGTCAGGAGGACCTGAGTTCATATCTGGCCTCAGACACTTGACACTTGCTAGCTATGTGACTGTGAGCAAGTCACTTAACCCTGATTGCCTCACTAAAAAAAAAAAAAAAAAGCAGTATAAAGGTGAAGAATATACTATAAAACCAGATTTTCAAGTAATTATAGGATTTGTTTTAAAAATAAGAATATAAACTTGTGTTTTTAAAATTAAATTTTATTCAATATAGAAAATAAAAACATGCCGTTTATGCTGTTCCTTTAATCCATTCATTGTTTTCATACATGTGTATGCATTTTTAAATTTAAATTAGCTCCTTCCTTAATGTGTGACCTTGTTTTCAGTTCTCTTTTCCACAGAATTAATTGAAATAGAGTATGCTCTTTGCATAAACCCCATACATTAACTGAAATTAACCTTTTATGAAGCTAACTTAAAGAGTCATTCAGTCCCTTCCTCTACCTAAGTGAAAGGAGACATTTAGAATCGCTTCAGTTTCAACAGAAGTTAGTGAATTTTCAAAGATACCACAGAGAATAATAATAGATGTGAAACTGCCCTGTAAACTGTTTGACTCTAGGTAAATGTAAAGTATTTTTAATGCCGCTACTATAATGAGTTAGAGAAAATGTTAGACATAGTTCATAGTAATGCAGTGGATTACAGATAGAGAGTTGAAAGGGCCCTTGGAGATCATCTACTAGTCCAGTTCCCTCACTTTACAGATAAGGAATCTGAAGCCCAGAAAACTGAAATTACTTGACCAAAGTCATACAAGAAGTAAATGGCAGAGCCAGGATTTGCACTCATCATCTGGTTTCAAAATTCCACACTTTTCCCACTACCACACTGTCTTCCTTTGGCACTTGAACAATTTAGGCTCTGAACTGCTGAGGTTCTTAAATTGTCATCTCTGAGGGAAGCAAGGTCAGTGCAATATATACTGTACTACAGACAGTTCTCACTGTATATGAATTCGTATTATATGTATTTAATTTTATGTAAAAATTCTGAAAGAAATCCACATTCCAAAAAAAAAAAAAGCTATGTTAACTTTACTGTCCTTTACTGCTCTCTTTCTTGGTTCCTGCCCCTTGACTTGGCATTCCATGGCCTCCCTAACCACTCCCAACCAAAACAAACAAACAAACAACCAAACCTCCTAGAGAAGGGATGCGGGGAGAGGCTGCCCCCACAGCCAGATTTGGGGCTTGGCTTGAGACTTCGTGTTGAAAGAAGAGACCTTTGCCCTGCTCTGGTCACCCTTCCACACATCTGTTGTCTGTCCACCTTGGGTACCATGCCTGTCCCCGGCCTCTCATGTTACCTGTCCTCTCCACTTTGTGTCCACTTTCATTCTGTGTCCATGTCTGGCCCTTATGTGTCTGCTCTCCTTTCACCCCCAACCACTGCCCTACGTCTTCTTCCTCTCAGTTCCAGCTAGGCTTCTCCTCCTGCTCTTCCTTCTCTGTCCCCATCCCGTATATGTCCTGGAACCATGTGCCAGCTCCCTTCCCGCCTCACTCCTTCCCTTCCCCAAGTCCACAGCAAATTCTCATTTCATAAAAATTGCTCTATGTAGAAGTCTACAGAACAGTCCACCTATATAAAGCAATACCTGTCTGTACTTAGCGTTTAATACAGTTTAGGAGTGTGATGCAAGTATTAACTATGGCAGATTTGTGAAAACAGATTTGATGGATATAGTCCAAGCTATATGAGGTTATATATTAAATAATTCACTATACTTGTTAATTTCCATGTTCCTAATCATATTTTAATAGGTTAAAGAAATGGAAGGAATTATAAAAAGAAGGTATCCTAATTCTTTACCTGCTTTAATATTGGCTGCCTCAGCAGCAGGTAATACAGATATTTCACCTAAAAATACAGTTGAATTTATGGAAAAACGCATAAAAAAATTAGAAGCTGAGCTTGAGGGTAAAGATGAAGAAGCAAAAAAAAGCCTTCGTACTATGGAACAGCAATTTCAAAAAATAAAGGTAAGAATACGTTATTTCTGATAAAAGAACAATAGGATGGCATAGATAATGAAGATCTAGGAAAACTCCCTACACTTATTTTGGCTAATACATCCTCTTATTACCTAAACATCTTACCTAATTCTTGTTTCACTTGTAAGCATTATCTTTAGATCTTTGCCCAAATCTGTTCCTTCTGGCCCCCCATCCAGGCAGGGCCAAAGGTAGCCAGGGGCTGTGCCTAAGAATCCCTCATGGCAGGCTGGCCTGGTCTGAATGGAATGATGTGCAGCAATAATGTCTCAGGTAGTGAAAGAGTAGGTCATTCATGGTAACAGAGTTCACTATCCTCAAAAGTTAACAGGAGGTTGAGTTAATCAATAAGTCAGGCTACAGTCAGAAGGCATAGTCAAGGTGCAGAAGTGCAGGGTAGCATTGTGGCCACATTGGAATCCAAGAACATAAACAGGAAAACTTGGTCTATTTGAACAGGCAAGGGAATTCAAGAAAGTAGGTGTTGGGACAAGTTTGAGTTTATACAGAGGGGTTCATTTCAAAATTGACATGTTTATCCCAGGAATTATGTCAGCATCCTTTTAAAGCTTACTGTTTGGAATTTAATCCTATCTTCATCTTCTTCGGAGTGAGCTACATCTATGGGTAGCTTCTGGCAGCCACTAGTGAGAAGCATGTGTGGCAATGGCATCCTATCATTAGACCATTAGGCCCTCCTACAGTATATTTTCATTTCATCAATCGACCTCTAACAAAGCTACATAAGATAAGTACTATCTTTTTGAAATATGAATAAATTGTCATCTCTTCCCTAGAGTAGCATGATTACAAAGGCAGGAGAATCCTATCTCTGAAATTTCTGTAATTTAAAATGCTTATGATTTTCCCCTGAAGGCAGAAGACAGACAAGGAAAGGGGGAATGTACCTTCAACAGGCATGATTTACTTTCCTCTGTTCTTCACCAAGCTCTGGAGGATTATTTAAAGGAGAGAAACAATAAAATGGATATAGAAAAAGGCTTAAGAAACCATTTTCTCCGAAGACCATCCCCGCCCCCAAATCTCTGTGGTACCTAATACGCCACCTTGAATTTTGTTGTTGTTTTAATTGTAGCCAACTCTTCATGACCCCATTTGGGATTTTCTTGGCAAAGATACTGGAATAGTTTGCCATTTTCTTCTCAGTTCATTTGACAGATGAGGAAACTGAGACAAACAGGATTAAGTGTCTTGCCCATAGTCACATAACTAGTAAGTGTCTGGGAACCAGATTTGAACTCATGAAAATGAGTCTTACTAACTGCAGGCCCAGACCCCTATCCACTGCACCACCTATCTGACTTGAATTTAGATGACACTTAATGTTTGTTCAATGAAGAAAAAAGTAAAAACTACAAATTTCTCAAGCAAACATTGAGAAATGAGGGGTAAATAAAATGTCTAATGAATAAGGGCAACATAAAGAATTTAATTTTGAAAGTATGAAACATAGTTGGAATTCCCTGACCAATGGTGGCCTACTCAAGTTATCTATTTTCTGTCCTATCTATTTTCTATCCTAAACATCCCATTTGCAAGTCCCCAGTTGTCCTCCCTTCCTCCTATGAGATCCCAATTCCTATAACAAAATTAGTCACCAGATTCACTCAGAGGCTACTTCCTAATGAGATAGTTATTTATTCAGCCTATATTGTACACAAAGGCTTTTACTATGGATGATGCTCTACGTAAGTTTCAGAGAGATAAATTAATCACTCTTTAAAGAATTTAAAATCTGGTTTGAGGAGACTTGAAAGAACAACTTAGAAAGTACATCAGTGATTATGAAACAAATATTCACAGTGTAGTGTACCGTTAAGTATTTATATAACTTTGTCCCTGGGAGAAGGGGAGGGTCCTGTGCAAGACATATTTAATCTGGGTGTTATCTGCATATTAAATAATAGGTAGATGATTGAATAAATGAGGTCACAATGCATTTTTTCATATGGGGAATTTTTTTGTTTTTGTTCTGAATGAAGAGGCTATAGCATTCTATTAAGTACTTTAATGAACTTAGAGAAGGTCTTGGGCATCATGTTAATTTTTTTCCAGATTCAATATGAGCAACAAGTGAAGGAGCTTGAACAACATCTTGCCAGTAAATTAACAGATGAGGAAAAGAAACATGAAAACTCAGCCAGTATGAAGGCCCTGGAGCAAGAACTTTGTGACATGAAAGAGGCCCATCAGGTAACTGTAAAAACCCTGGAAGATGAAATTGAAATTCTTAAAAATCAAAATACCCAGTTAGAATTCAACAAGAATGAAAGAGATGATCAAGATTTCCAGTCTTTAGAGTTCCAAGTGGAGCAGGCTTCCACAAAAGCCAGACTAGTGAGACTTAATCAAGAACTGGCTGCAAAAGGAAGAGAAATACAAGATCTTACAAAAACCGTAGAAAAACTTCAAAAAGAGAGACGACTGATGCTGTCCACTCAGAATGCAGCGGACAAACCTGGAAGTGAGGAAAGATCTGCCAAAAAGGGGAAGAAGGAATTTTTGGTCTCCAGTAAAAGGAATGCTGAGTCCTTCCCAGAAACCTTGGCTAGCAAACTGTATGAACCACATGCCTTTGCAGATTCCCACATATCAAAAGTTTTACAAGAAAACTCCAGATTAAAAAGTGAGCTGGAACGACTGACTTCTGAAATGAATGAGCAGAGGGCAAAGTCTGGAGCAGCACTTGCCCACTCTGAAAGTACTGTGAAAAGGTAAACGGTTAAGTGAACCTAGAAAAACACTACATTAGAATGCTGTCAGAAGGCTAGAAGTAAGTTAGAGAATCTGAGACCTCTTAGTGGTCTTTTCATTTACATTAGCCTTCTTTATGCTTATTTTTTAATAATATAGTGAACTGTTAACTTATTTATGGTTAGGTGTATCATTAATTCTTTGACAATATTGTCATTGAGTAAACTACCTCTGATAATGCCCTCATAGTCAGAAAAAGTAGAAGTCTAATAGTTTCCAGGATTAGTATAAAGATCAGTTTACCTCCACAAACATGAATCTATTTCTAGTCTAGCATAGGTAGAAATTATGGAACATAAAATGATGAGTACTGTCTCTATTAAAACTAATAAAGACTATGGAGGCAGGTAGGTGGAGTAATGGATAGAGCTTGGGACTTGGAGTCAGGAAGACTTGAGTTTGAATCCTGTTTCAGATATTTACTAGCTGTATGACCCTGGGGAAGTCACAACCTCTGTCTGCCTCAGTTTCCTTATCTGTAAAATGGAGATAATAATAACCCCTACCTCCCAGGGTTGTTGTGAAGATCAAATGAGAAAGCATATGTATAGCTCTTAGCAAATTTTAAAGTGATATTATATAGATATATAGAAATATATACACACTAGCCACTACTATTGAGAACTGCAAGCAGATAAAGCTTTAATTGTTCTTAGAATCCATTCAAGAGATTTAGGTGCATTTTAAATGACTGGAGGTTAGAAATTTTGCTTCATATTCAGACAGAAAGGTGCTCCCTTTGATAATATGAGGTTCCTTGAAATAGTTTTGTTAATTCAGTGTTGGTAGAAGCTAGAGAAACAATTATGCCCAAGCCTTCTTTCTTCATCTTTCTAGAACCAAAGAAGATGCAGCAGAGCATATTGCTGCCCTCAAAGCCTCTCATCAGAGGGAAGTAGAAAAACTTCTTTGCCAACATGCAATAGAAAATTCTTCTTCCAAAGTAGCTGAGCTAAATCGCAAAATCTCAACACAAGAGGTACATGAAAATAATTATGTTTTTACTTTACCAAGTCTGACTTTCTTAGTGGCTGCTTACAGAACACTATTTAATTTTTGAAGAATTGAGAAATATTTTTGGCCTGTGAAATAGGAATGGAAAATTATTGTTTTTTTGTGGAAAGTAATGCCTCAATTTTAACTTTTCTATTTAAAAAAAATGAACCCTGTAAAAATTGTGTATTGGTCTCAGTATAGTCTATACTTTTTTCCCCAAAGGCTTAAGTGACTGTTATTTTTCATTTTTTCATTTAATTTTTCATTTCATTTGCTTTAATAACAATTGTTATTTTATCATCGCTGTCGTTTTTTTCCTTTCAAAGACATGTTATTGTTATGGGATGATCTGTATTTGGACCAATACTGGCGTTTTGTGCAGATTTATCCTCAAGTTTCCCAAATAAACTTTTTTTTTAAGCGGCTTTTGCTATCCATATATAGTGAATTCATGGCAGGTGAGGTTTTGGCTAGTTGAACTTAGAATGTTGGTTAAAAACTCTTAAATATAAGGTCACCTTTGGGTCAAAATCATTTAGTCAGTAGTCTAACCTCATTACTTATTTTTCTAATAATCATGATTTAAAACGCTGACAACTTTTGAGCCCGTGACAAGATAGCTCTATGGTATTGTCTCTTATGCCAGCTGATATATACTATACTAAATATCCAGTATGTCACACTGTATGGCTTATGTGCATTAACGAGTTTTAAAAGTAGCATCTGAGTAAAATTTAACTTTTAGCTTTCATCTCAAGGGAAAACATCTGACAAGAAAATTCACTTTGCTTTGTAACTAACAATAATAAAGAATTCAGCTTATAATGCTTAGAATTAGACATCTGCCATTTCAAAATGCCTAGCATTGACAGAGTCCACTAAAGTAATAAGAGTTTTGAAACCTTCGAAAGACTAGTAGAACCCAAATGTTCTCAAAGTCTTCAAATTGTACTTAGAGTGTACTTTATTTTAAAGTGCTGGATGTAAGGCAAGGGATATCCTTTTTCAGTCAGTTTATTCAGTATCCTTCATAAGAGAATTGTATATTTTAACATTGACCCCTCAGATTAGCAGTAATATGGTATAAATAGTAATTGAAATGTTCATGAAATAACATTTTTGTATTTTTTCAAATAACTTCAAAAATGAGGCTTTTTTAATGTGTAGCATGTTTGGCACATTTCCCTAGGTCCTTATAAAACATCTCCAAACACAGGTTAGTGAGCTGCAAGGAAGTAAAGAATCCTTAGCAGTTTCTCAAGTTCGAGAGGAAATCCTTCAAAAAGAGGTAAGAGATGGAAAAGGTGTACAATGATTTTTTGTTATTTTTGCAATGTCTGTCGAATCCTTGTTTCCATGTGTTTTTTTTTAAACAAAGAACTGAATAGAAGTAACCAGAACCAACCACATGTCAAATATGTCTCCGCAAATCATTCATGTGTGAACTGAAGTCTCATATTCTTTTCCCAATCTGCACTCAAAATGTTAATGATTGAATGAACAAGAGTATTCCCGAATAAGATAGATACTAAACTTAATTTTTTTCCCAATTGCAAATGCTTAGCAGCTGCATTTCCTAAATGCAAATACTTTCAAAGAGTATTGCAGTTGTTCTTTGATGTAATGTAACAGTGGCAGGAAGTATGCCATAGTTCACTAAAATATGAGATTTTTAAGAACTAAAAGAATTATTTTTATGGCTTATGATTTATTTTTCTCATTACTAAGTAAGAAGGCAAAATGCTTAGGGAAATTTCAAAACCCAGTTTAGAAGGTACAGGTATCATCTTCCTTAATGACTTGTTATTTATATCTTTGTAAATTGCCATTGGTAGGCAGAATCCATGATATGAATGACAGTTGGTTCATTTAGGAATGGGCATAGGTATTATAAAATAAAATCATAAAGCACGTGGATTTAAATCATAAAATCCCAGGATGGAAGATAGGAAGGACTGGAGGAGCCCATCCACTCTAGCTTTCATTTGATTTTCTTCAGTGAGAGGAAAGATCCATTTCACTTTTTGTTAGCTATGATTATTAGAAAGTTTTTCATTTTTTAAGCTAAAAATCTGATGCTCTGGAACTTCTGCCAATTTTTCCCAGTTCTGCCCTATAAGGCCAAGCAGAACAAGACTCATCTTTTTCCACATGACAGTCTTTAAAATAGGTGAAGACAGTTATCATGTCACGCCCGTCCCCTTCAACCCAAATCTCTTGTTCAGGCTGTACATCCCCTATTCTCTCTGCTGATCTTCACTTAACATGACCTTGAGATCCCTCACTATCCTGTTTACACTTGAGATGGGTGTATGAGAGCAGTTCGTTCCAGTGGCCATAGAGGTGGCTGAAGCAGGTGCCATGGAGTGCTTAGAGCTTAGTCAGACATCAACTGCATCCCAGGCCATCACTGGTCCTCTTGACTTTGTCTTGCAACTAGACTTAGATGACTCTGGAAGAGTGAGGCTGACTACTTTGTGCAACTCTGCCTCACTTAAATCCAGTTCATACACAAGTCAACAACACATCAATGGTGATATCATTGGTCCTCTTGAAATAACAGCAACAATTCATACTCCTGTAGATGCTCTCTAAATTGTCAGCGTGACTTTATAAAATAAGGTACCCAGAACTAAACACAGTATTTCAAAAGTGGTTTAGCCAGGATAGATTAAAGCAGGATTAATTTCTCCCTTTTGTGAGTACAGTGATCTAAATCTGCATTTAAAAAATTAGCCAACAAATAAATAAACCTAAAATAAGCTCAAAAGAGGAGATACGTAAAATTATAGGAGTATAAACAAACTGGAAACCAAAAAAACTATAGAAGTGATCGATATAACTAAAAGCTGTTCTTTAGCCAATCTGATCAAAAAGAAGTGAACACAAATTCAAATAAACAAAATAGTGAACAAAGTGAAATTGCAACAATACCAGAAGAAAAGAAGATCCAGCATAGAGCCGTGGTTTCCACAAATACTTAATAGTTAAGAGAAGAATGATGTTCCAGCAAAAGAAACTGAGTAGGAGGTCAGACAGTGAAGGGAGAACCTGCTGAGAAGATGGAGTGAGGTGGAAGAAAGAGGAAACTGGCAGAAGCCACAGGACGAGTTCAGGACGAGTTCAGGGGTTGAAGTCTTAAGAAAAGGCCTTGGATCTACTAGTTAAAAGATGATTGGTAACCTTAGTGAAGGCAGCTCCAGTGAATGATTGGGAGGCAACAATTCCCTTTCATATTTCAGGGCCTCTTTATTAACTTTATTTAATGTTTCAAAGATATTGCAGCTATCCTTTGACATAATTATTCAACATTATTTATAAAATCATCAAATCTTGGACTCACCATGTATTTATAGTTGACTATTTCTGCTTTGAACTTGACTGAATTTAAGAATTAAGAGAATGGATATTAAAAGTGTTTTGCTAGTGAAGAAACTAAGCTGTAGACCTGTAAATCCCAATCCTTTGCTTTGCAATATGGATTTTAGTTAAATTTTTAGAAAGAGATTATGGTTTATGTCACAAAACTAAACCTGCTTTATCTGGTCATAATCTTCTGTCATTACATCTTTCCTTTTCTTTATGACCCTTAAGCTCGGTTCTTCATCCTCACTATGACCTCCAGTCCCTCCTCCCCTCCATTCTTTCCCATACCATCATCCCTGCACTGATCACACTGTCCTCTCTTCCTTATCCCAATGTCTTGATGATTCAGTTAAATGCTACATTGTCGTTTATACTCAAATTCCTTACCCTCCCTTCTCCTATCACTGATCATGCCTTGCCAGACCCCAACCTTGGATGACTCCCACCTTCCATCACATTCACTCCTATTCACATGCTGCTGAATAGAACTGGAGAAGGTCACAAAGCCATGCTAAGTTGGCCCATTACATATCTCCAGTGAGCCCTCACTTCAGTGATGCAAACGTTTTACAGCTCCCTAAATGTTTCACTTTCCCTTTCACCACAGCAGCTATTCTAAACATTTCAATTCCTCCTCAAGCCTCCACAGCACCCCCTTTCCCTGTCCTTTGAGCTAAGGACCTTGCCATATTTCACCAAAAAGTTGAGGCTAATCAATGAGAACTCCCTCTTCCTTCCATCTCATCTCAAATCACTGAGATATCTTACCCCACTATCTCTTCCTTCATCTCTGTCTGTCAAAAAGAGGAAGCCTTTCTTGCCAAAGTGAGGTCAATTACATGCATTCTAGATTCCATCCCAACTTCTCCAATAGGTTGTCCTCCCTATTATCCCTACTCCCTTTCTAATCTTTAATTGCTTCCTATGTATTGGCTCCTTCCTGGCCGGTTACAATCATGCTCATGTCTCCCCTATCCTTTAAGAGAAAAAAAAAAACTCAACTGATCCCACCATCTCTGCTAGTGATCACCCTCTTATTATCTCCTTCTCAGCTAAACATGAAGAAAGCACATACAATTGGCCCCTCCTTTTCTTAATCAGTTCTAACTCTCCACAGTCTGGCTTCTGACCTTATCATTTAACTGCAATGTCTCCCCAGAGTCACCACTGACCTCTTAATTGCCAAAGGCAGTGACCTCAATCTTTATTATGTTTCATCAGCTCTTTTGAATCTTGTATGCAGCTATATATGAACGTGTCTCTCCATCTAGAATGTAAGCTTTTTAAGGACATAACCCCTTTTACTCCCCGCAACATGCTTAGCCCAGTGCCAGCACATAGTAAGTACTGAATAAATGCTTTTTTAATTGTTTTCTCAATTCAGTTTATACTTCTATTAAGTACTTACTTTTTAAAGAGCACAACAAGCATTTATTATTAAGTACCTACTATGTACAAGGCATCTTATTTAGTTCACCTTTTAGTGCTGTGCTTCATGCAAATGGTCTTCAAACTTCTCACTATTAAAGTAACAGAGCTAGGAGGTAGCTTATAGTTTATTTCCTGAGGAATGAATTATTTTCATACTTTTGTATTATTTATCTTAACTTTAGTCAATATTTATTCTCTCAACTTTCAATTTACTCTGGAACATAAGTTTTTAGGTAGAAGCAAGTAAAGGACAATATCTCTAAGCTTCCTGATGCAGAAAATTTCAGTCTAAGTCATCAATTAAGGGGGACTCTTGTGGCCAAGTGAAGACCACCAAAGCAAGCATAAGAACCGGCATGGTTTCATATAGTAAGGGCAGCAGACTGCACTGCCAGCTCTTAAGGCTTTTAAAGGCCTGGGCACACCAAGATGAGCGTCTGGGATTGGGTGGAGAAAGAGGAAGGTATCATTTACCTCAGTAAGTACACACTTACCCTGTTAAGAAGAAGACACTTTCAAGGACCTACATGTACAAAAATATTTATAGCAGTTCTTTTTGTGATGGCAAAGAATTGGAAATTGAGGGGATGCCCATCAATTAAGGAATGGCTAAACAAGTTGTGGTATATGAATGTAATGGAATATTGTTATGCTATAAGAAATGATGAGCAGGCAGACTTAAAAAAAGCCTGGAAAGACTTAGATGAACTGATGCAGAGTGAAATAAGCAGAACCAGGAGAACATTGTACACAGTAACAGCCACAGTCTGGAATGACTGACTTTGATAGACTTGGCTCTTCATAGCAATGCAAGAATCTAAGACAACTGCAAAAGATTCATGATGGAAATTGCTATCCACACCCAGAGAAAGAAATATGGAGTCTGAATGCAGATGGAAGCATGCATGCTCTCCTTTTCCTTTGTTGTTTTGTTTTATTGCTTCATTCTCATGGTTCCTCCCACTAGTTCTAATTGTTCTTTACATCATGACTAATAGAGAAATATGCTTAACATGAATGTATATGAGATCCTATATCAAAATGTATGCTGTCGGGGGTGAGGGAAGAAAATTTAAAACTCAAAATCCTATGGAAGTGAATGTTGAAAACTAAAATAAATTAAATTAAAAAAAGAAGGCACTTTCTGATCTTAAATATTTTAAAAAGAAACAAGATAAAAGGAACTTCTTTATTCTTTAGAAACAACTTTTGGATGTAATATGAAAAGTAGAATTTCACTTATTTGGTCTGCACTTCTGATTGTAGATTTCAAAACTGTTGGAAGAATTGCGAGAGGCTAAAGAAAGCCATACCCCAGAGATGAAACATTTCATGGGTCTAGAAAGGAAAATCAAACATATGGAAATGAGGCATGTGCAAAGAGAGCAAGAGCTTCAGCAGGTAAAATTATAGGTCTCTCTAATTGTATAAAAACTGCACTGATTGGCCGGCCTGGCCAGAGTGGGATTTCTCTTGTTGATGTGATTATCATCTCTCTCATGTGAAGTAGGATTACATAATTTCATTTTACGTTGTGCCATTGGGTAAAGTGCAGAAGCATGCAAGGCCAGTTGTTCTTTGAAGGAGGCAAGGAACAACTTGCATCATTTTGCCCATTCTTAACCAGCCATTTTTATTCATGCCCTCCTTCAATACAAATAGGTAATTTGGGCACAGCCATTGGTACAGTTCACATACAGGTCACTTCAGCAAAATGTATGCACAGTCTGAATGTAGATCAGACACATACAGAGGCAGCTAGGTGGTGCAGCAGGTAGAACACTGGACCTGGGGTCAGAAAAACCTGAGTTCAAATTCCACCTCAGACACTTAACTAGCTGTATGACCCTGAACAAGCCACTTAACCCTTTTTTTTTTTTTTTTGGCCTAAATTTCCTCATTTGTAAAATGGGGATAATAATAGCACCTGCCATGTTGTGAGGATCACACTGATGATGATAATATTGTAAAACATTTAAAAGCTAGATAGAAATATGGTAATATTACATTTCCAAATGACAACCACTAGTTTACCACTACTATGACTGGTAATGTCATATGATTATAATAACTGTAAATGGATTAAAATAGAATTTTATCTGATATTCACACAGATTTTTAGTGTGCTAATGGAAAATAAAAATGTTACTGAGGTACAAAACCATTGAACACATGACTCTAATTTGGGAGAATCATATACGTATGACCAGTTTAAGTTTACATGGTAAGATTGAGGCTAATGATACTGTGAAGTCAAAGATTTGGGCATTTCAGTGATCCAATAACTAAGAAGTAATTCAGAAATATGGATAAGAAGAAGAAAAAAATACAGGATCACTTCTCTGTTCTCCTGATCTCATACTGTTAGACTTGCTTCTCAGGTACTCAGAATCACCATAAGACTAAATGCCCATCAGCACTGTGTCATTAGGGTATCCCACTGAATTAGTTGCACTGAAGTGTCACCAGGAAGCTTTAGCATGCCCTTCTATGATGTAGTGTTATCAATAATGTGTCCAAGTGGATGGTGAACATTTCAAACATTTGCTTCCTTAACCTGCATTCCTGCCATCACAATTTTCATTACAAGTAAACATGTTGATTGCTAAAGAATCTGGGCTCTAAATGTGGCACTTGTTGTAGCCAAAAAACAGGACTTTTGGACACTTTTGGTTGAAACAAAAGGCAAGAAGTAATGGGATCAAAATATTTCATATAATTGTAGAATTTTAGGACCAGGAGGGACTTTTAGAAATCATCTACATGTATCATATAGTAAGATGCCAAATTAATTCTGGACATGGATCTAAATAAAATCAAAGCAAAGATTCATAGCTTTTCTTGTGTCATGGACTTCTTTTACAGTCTGGCAAAGCATATGGACCTCTTCTCAGAATAATTTTGGCTTCTTTTGTTTTTAATGTATGTAATACATAGGAAAATTCCCAAGAAGAATCCAATTATATTGAAATATGGTTATCAAAATCTAGAAAAAAAAAAAGTTTACAGTCCCAGGCTAAGAACTCCTGAATTAGGGCTTAAATGAACCTGGATAGAGATGTGTATTTTATTGGCTACCTCTGCCTCATATTGCAGCTCTTTCAGGGCTGTACCCAGCTACATAGAAACATTGCCCTGTGTTTTTACCAAACCTGAAAATCCAGAATAGTAATCCTGTACCTGTTTATATTAAATATTAAATCTTTTAAATGGCTAGTGCCAGATCAGCAAAAAGCTGATAATTATGAACAGTAGTAATTCTTCGGGATTAAATAATTTTGATTAATGAAAATACTATCCTAAATATGAGTCATTTTAATATCAAATAAAAATATGTTTGCTATAAATAAAAAAATTACAATTCCATCTTGCCCTGTTTTATGTTTCTCTGTGTCTACCACATCTAACATGGTGCCTTTGCAAATAGCAAGTGAAGAAATAAACTTTGATTTGATTTAATTGAATTGAAAGAATTATAATGGAATTAACCAATCCAGCTATCAGAATCCAGGCAAACATACGTAAACTATCCTGGGCAGGTGTAGAGTAAGTGATGTTTAGGGGTTTCTATTCTTTTTAACTGGGAGAGATTTCCTCTGCTAAGCTTCCTACAGTAGGTAATATGTGTGTTATTTAGCATAAGATTATCTTAAAGCACTTTGCAGCTGGTAAGTAGTAATGATGTGCCCTCTTGTCACTAGGTAACATATCAGAACTAGGAGGGGACCTTAAAAATAATCTAATCTAGCACCTATGTTTTGCAGAGGAGAAAATCCTTAGAAAATGCCCACTGTAGTCATTCTACTAAACATTTCTTAATTACATTTCACTATATTCACGGAAAGCAGCAGCTACCATTTTCTGAGTCCAGAGGCTGGCAAACTACATCCTAAGGGCTAAATCTGCTCCTCGCCTTTTTGTGTGTGTTCCCCAGTTAGAAGAGGTTTTTTTTTTTTTCATTTTTACATACAGTAAAATTTTTTTTAATCAATGTAAACACTATTCTTAG